GAGTCACATGGACATGGGTAACATGGACATAAAAACTTTTTGTTGCTGATATGTAATTTATGTGGTATATTCATGATCAATTGTTTAGACTAAAATTTTATTCTAAACTTCTGAAGAAGTCATGTAAAATATTGTCTATTTTCTGGAACAAAATATATTAATAAAACTAGAAACTTTTAATTAAAATATTACAAATAAATATTACTAACACAATCAAGTCAGTTTTTCACTAGTTTGAAACTCTCTTTCCCATTTCTCATTTTGAACATAAGACTAGTGATTATCTATAGGTTTTATTTGCCACTGAGGATTACCTTGGTGATAACAGGAATTACTAAGGTAAATCAGCAGTTGTGCTTCTCACTGAAGTTTCATACTCCTACAGGCTTTGAGCTGACCGATGTGGCAGTAAGGTACTTGCAGTTAGAGTCAGGCATCTGCAAAAGAATACATTATGAAAAACGTGGGTGTGGAGAACTGCTTGGCGCTCTCTCCTACATGCCTCATGCAGTGGCCCCGCCACAGGGCCACCATGTGGCTTACCTCCGCTGAGTCTTAGCAGCTTTGGTGCGAGCTGCTGATATTTATTAAGCAAAAACCAGTCTTCTCTGGGCTACTTGCACTGCTGTATGGGCCATAAAAACAATGATAGCAAAGCAAAATAGGACTCATAAAATAAGCTGCAGTATTTCAAAGGAAATGAGGTATTAACTGAAAGGAACAAAAGTCGTTCATAGGGGTCAAGGGCAACTTTAATTCAATAAGCTTTTCCTGTAATAATAGACCAGTGTGTTTTGCCAGTGCTAATGTAACTCATTACATAATCCTTTTGATTCTGAGTCAAAATATTTTTCTAATATGAACAGAAATTTGTATTCGATTTCATATGTACAAATTAAGACAATTGACAGGTAATGTTTTTTTTAAATGAAAAACTTTTACAGGCTAAGAGAGCCTAGCTACTAAGAGAGAGCTTCAGCAGTCTGTGAGCTCAGTGAGTCCTCATAGCTACGTGCTTCAAGTGAACTCGTGTTTAAAATCCCTTGTACTACGTTCATTTTTGTTAACAGATCAGTTGTGCCACAAACACCAACTTGCCAACAAGGACTGTTACACAGCTGAACAAAGTCAGCCTCTGCTTTCCTTCTACTTGCATTCAAATATGCTTTGACTAATGACTGCACTGAAATAATAATTTTATGGCCTTAAATCAGTTGAAATAGTAACACCATCTGATTGGGAGCCTTTGGGCCTGTGTTTGCACCTAACGCACAGTTCGTCTACTGAGTAAGAAATGCATAAATATTTTCTGACTGAATAAATTAATCAATAAACAGTCCCAACTGTTCGGTTGTTGTGAAACTTTTTAAAACCATGAAGTGCCCTACAAGCAAAGGCTTTCTTTCCTGGTCAGCTATAGAAGTGCTTGTTGATCCACATTCTTCGTCATTCAAAATGTCAGTATAGCTGAGTGAAGTATCTGGCCATGTAATGGAACTTCTCAAACCTTTTGGGTGAGATAATTAAGGTTTATTTATTAGGTACAATTCTTATATTAGTGTTTCACTAATAATATCTAATTTTAAATGATAATTGCTTTTATTCCACCAAGAATTATTAGCATATTGACCTGTGAAATAAAGCAATCTTAGGAACATAGAATAAAAATAGAATGATAAAAAAAATCTTCTATTCACATAAAATTACTTAATAATCCCCAGTTTGCAAAAATAATATGAAACTTTTCAAAGGTTTCTGGTAACTGTCCTTACTCTCCATTTCCAGGCTTTCCTGAAGAGCCGATGGTCAGACAGACGTGTGGACTGCTGGGCTGCAGCCTTGCAGGCAGAGAAGAGAGAAAATCAGAGTCAGATGGTGCTGCGGCGCTGCTCCGCCTGCCTGTGGACCACTGCTACTCCACACCAGCTCCTCTGCTTACATGTGGCCTATGTTTTTTGGCTTAAAAAGAGTGAACTGAAGCAACTTGATAGGAGAGACGGTGCTGGGCAGAGCCTCCAGGAGGCGCCCATCTGCTCCGCTGTGGCGGCCTCCGCAGCCCCCAGGTGGGCTTACCATGGCCTCTCTGTGGTATCCCTTGCAACAAAATGTCTCCGCTGTCGCTTAGGAATTTTGTGACTGTTTTCTGAAGATTGGGGCTACTTTGCAAACGTAACAGAAAATCTGGAAAGCAGTTACCATTAACCTATGTATCCATCTTCATTGTAGTCATAGCTTCCATTAGGAGATTTTGTTTCAAGGAGAAGACACAACACAAAGAGAAAGTAAAATAAATAAAATTTTCTAGTACAAAACATTTACAAATGCTTCAGATTTCCACTGAACAAGTGTCATTAGAAAAATCTGGAAAAAAGAATTGGTCAATTCGGCATGGTTTATGTATGTATCTGTGAACTAAATGTGTCATATTTTAATAACCAAAGAGAAATCTGACAGAAAGAATGACAGAGGAGAGATACTTCCTACGTGGATCCCATTGTCTCTGTTCCTTATCAGAAGTCCATTTAAATGAATATTTATCCAGGCAGACAAACCACTGTGAGGAGTAGCTCTTATGGAGAGGCCTCTTGGAGGAGGGCATCCTCAGGAGCAGCTTTGGCGACTAGGGGGTGCCGTCCTCCTGCCCCCATTTCTCTTTTCCTGCAAATGCCTATTCAATGTATTGAATTCTTTATAGAAGTTTAAAACATGCTTAGAAATTTAAGATGTTTATATGGTGCAGTTGCAAATACTTTATCTTACAAGTAATTCTCACATACTTAGATATGGTGCTGCTGAGATAGATCCACATCCACCAAGTGAAGGAGTAGAATGTGCTTACTTCGCATTGCAAATGAAATTGACAGTCAATTTAGAGGCTTGCATTTTTCCCTGATTTTTGGAAGGTTTTTCCTTATTTGTCTTTCTTAAATTCTCACGTTGATCTTTTTGAAAGATAAAAGTCTGCCACTTCAGAGTGAGCTGGAAGGGAAGATAGTGGGTCAATGAACACTGCAGCTTGTTACTAAGAATACAAGCAGCTTATTCCAATGTACAAAAAGATTGTATGCCTGGGAATGCAATTAAATTACAATTACAACAATTAATATTATAATTATACTTTGTGAAATGAGTTTTTGAGATTCCTGAAACAGCCTCATTTTTATTTTTCACATTTATCTTAGGGAACAAAGTCACAGTTATGGAAGATAATGAGAACTATTTCTTCATCCAGGGTGTCCAACTTTTACTTTGTAATTCTATGGTTTGTTCCAGGACATAAGGCCAATCCCTAACTTTTTCTTTTTTCTTTTCTTATTTTTTCAGAACTGGGGATTGAACTCAGGTCCTTGCACTTGCTAGGCAAGTGCTTATTCTACTGAGCTGTCTCCCTGGCCCCAATAACTTTAATAATTTATTTTAAAAATATAGAGAAAAAATAGCATCCTATTTCCTCTGGAACATATTTTATAGAGAATAATTTTGTTTGAAAGTGATTAATGTGAAACTGTACTGTTGAGCAAAAAGTGTCAGTTTCATTTGGATATTAAAAATCATTTTAAGGATTTTAGTGTTTTAAATTATTTCTTATTGAAATGGCCTCTCTCTACCTAACTCCAGTCTGTCCTGCTGCTGCTTTCTCGGAGTCACCTTATAGGGTTGCTTCCCGCATGCCACCACCTGGGGCTGCTTTCCTGGCGACCTGCATGGCTGCTAGTGGAAGATTTTCGATAAGGCCAAGGCCAAGCAGCAGCACCACTTAGTGCACGGACTTGGACTTTGCACACGACGCGTGATGAGCACAGTGAGATTCCACAAGCACTTTCAGTGTCTTATATCACCAGAAAGCTGGAGAGTGTGAAAAGTGTGATTTTGCTTTATGCGTTCAGGCAAAACACATAAAAAGAAACTTAACAAGAAGCCAGGCACCTGTAGGTAAAGCAAAAACACTAAAATTTCATAGCAATTCTAGAATGTGCTCAATAAATGTACTTTGGTATCAGAATGCTAGCCCACACAATACATGTACTGTGACCCCTAAGGTGAAGTGAGTGGTTAAAAGGAACATTAGAGCTGTACATAAATGCTGTAGATTTCCAACTTTTAAACTCATTAAATATTAAGGATAAACACATACTTTGCTAATTTCCTCAGATTAAGTGTGGTATTTTGGAAAGGTGTACACTTTCCTTATTATACTTAAGAAATTCAAATTTAATCAGTATGTAGTCATTAAGAGGGTGTGATTCCCAGCCTGGTTCATGTTTGTGTTCCATGAGTTAAAACAAACAAATACACATTTTATAGAAAGCATCTTGCTTTTAAATCTATATTTCAAGTAAAATGACTTAGAAGTTAAGAATCACGAAACTTTTTAGGATAAGCCATCAATGGAATGGCTTAACAAGAAAGGTAAGAACATATTTTTCTGCTTAAAATTCTGATAAAGGAAGGAAATTTAAAGCTAGGTCACCTACTCACCATTATTGAATTATTATAACTATTTTGGGGACTGGGATATATATTTCCTAGTGGTCAATTTTCTTTTATTTGAAGAAGATCTAGTTGTCATTAAGAAACAACAAAGTAACTATAATTTTCAACTTATTCTTTATTTTTTTTAAGAAATAAGCTTTAATGATTTAGGAAAAAAAAAGCAAAAGTAATCTCAGATGCTGAATGGAGACATTTCATGTTAACTTTGTCACAACCAGAGACCTAATAAAAAGTCTATTAATTACGTGCCATTAAAGAAAGAGATCTGAGAAAGCACTGTACAAATGGGTGATATATTTTCAATATCTTTCTGGAAAGCTGGCCTTTATTTCCCTGAAACTTGCATGCCCTGCACTCCACTGCTCTGTATTAGATGCACAGTGATCCACTTCTGAACATGGAGCCTTTCCTGGTAGCAAAAGGGTTAAGTTCTTTTTGCTTTACCAGTTTCAAATTACAATGAGAAGCCTCTTCTTTCCCAGCAGGGCTGTGCTTACATTGCTCTTTAGATCTCTTGAAGAGGGCTGGTATATTTGTGCCTGCTGGAGGTGGAATTCACAGTAAGAAGGAGCAAGAGATTGAATGGATTTACAGGAAAGAGTTCATGTAAACTCAGGGAAACACATTTACATGACAAGTACAACCTTCAGTCTTATTTTACACTAAGACGGTACAAAAGATGGTAAAGTTATCACCAAGCTGCCGGACAAATATATATTCCAACACCAAGGTGCAGATCTGCATAGATTTGTGATTCAGAAGTCAGCATTTGTCTGGAAAAGAGCACAAAAGTCGCGAAGACTCCAGCAACTGAAGACACCTTGGGAGCTACAGTGTATCAGAAGATCAGCTTTCGTTAATTCAGACACCAAAGGCCTGGTTATCCTCAATTTGTATAGGAATGCATAGGCCATCTGATCAAGTAATATTAGCCGTCATCTGCTCCATCAGTGCAGGAAAAGCTCTTAACAACTGTGGATAATTGGAAATCCGAGTTTCAGCTTTCTTAGAAATAACTACTTTTGACACATTCCAAAATATTTAAAATAAGGCAGGAAAATCAAGGAGAATGTTGTGTTCAGAAATGTCACTGTCATGAAGAATAGGTAAATTTGTTTTCACAGCTACTGGGAAAGCATACCTCCTAGGAATTTACGATATTTTTGAAAAGTGGACAAGAAAGACTTAAAATACCAACTTCTGCTTTTGGACAAAGATGCCTCTGACTGTGCTTTTACTCAGGGGCGTTGTGGGCTTCCTGGGGAGCTGCTGGCCGCTGGTGGGCTCGGCTGCTGGAGGTCTGGGAGAGGATCACGTCCACTCCAGCTTTATTTATAGAAGACTACGGAACCACGAAAGACGGGAAATCCAGAGGGAAATTCTCTCTATCTTGGGTCTGCCTCACAGACCCAGACCTTTTTCACCTGGAAAACAAGCGTCCTCTGCACCTCTGTTCATGCTGGACCTGTACAACGCCATGGCCAGTGAAGACAACCCCGAAGAGTCCGACTACTCCACGAGGGCATCGCTGGCAGCAGAGGCCAGAGGGCAGAGGAGAGGGCACCCGGCCTCTCCCAATGGGTACCCGCGCCGCACACAGCTATCACGAGCCACGCCGCTGACCACCCAAAGCCCTCCCCTGGCCAGCCTCCATGATACCAGCTTTCTGAACGATGCTGACATGGTCATGAGCTTTGTCAACTTAGGTATGTTGCTCATTTATTTGCTAATCTATACTGTTACACAGTGGAAATTTCCCTAATGCTGAAGGACTTGCTTGGTAGGTGGTCATACTTACATGTCTCATTTTCTGTACTCTTCTCTCCAGCTTCTGTTTCTTTCATTGATCTGGTAGAAAGAAGGCTGGGCTTTAGTCAATAAGGTCACATATATGTTTAATACCAAAAGCTCAACTAAAATAGTTACAGTTTTGGTAGATTCAGGTCTTTTCACCGCTTGCTAGCATTTCAACCTACCTTAAATACAGAAATGAAAGCAGTGGTCTAAAAAGGAAAATATTTGAGGACAGTAGTGTTTGAGACAAGAAAAAGGAAGATATTTACATATGGGAAAGTTAAAGCAGCATTTTAAAGCATCTTTCATTAATAACTTAAGGAACACATTACTGAAAAATATTGATATGATTATCAAACATCAAATAATACTGTAAAATACCACTATCAAGGAAACTAGGATGGGCTTAGAAAAATTCCATGAAAAATACTTCAGAATACAGATTTCCACTAATATTTCTTAAGTGTAATGATTAAAATGTATCATACCTATTTGACTTGTCCTACAGGGAAGAGAAATGCAAAACATAATATGATAGTCTTTACCTATACAAAATTTTCCTTTTCTTGAGGTAAAGTAATTAGGAATTTCTGTAGGTAGCAACAGTATTGAATAAAAACTCATGTTTTAATCAATGTTTGCAAGTTATGGCATTTGTCAATAGTAACAATATCTCATTGCTCTCACAATAATACTAAAGGAATCGTCAATTTAAAATGATTTTAGATATTTAAAAGAAAATAAATTTGAATATGTCTTATTTTTGAAAACTCAAAATTTACCAACAAGTTTAACCACCTGTGAAAATTAGAGAACTTTTAATATTAATGCAAAAACTTTTACAACTCCATGTTAAAAAAGCAATCTGCTTTGACTTAAAATCAACATGCTTTATTATACATTTAATTAAAAACTTCCTCATAGTTCTCAAAGGAAATATTCTTTGAAAAGTCCAACAGCAACCAATCCTCATGACACACGCATGTTTTTACAATATATGTCCTTCCTGGTGTGTTCCGCTCATTTGCTCTTCGAGGTCAGCTTGGAGTACAAGGTGCATAGCAAACCCTGTGTCTCATGTTATGAAAGACAGAGCTCTCACCAGTAAGTCCTAGGGAGCCACCACTTCTGCATGAGCCAAGTATTCTGGCTGTCTTCATTTCTCCGTGTAAATTAGCGGGTTTCATTTGGAACTTTTAGACATAGGTCATTTCCAAATTGAGTGCTTTTGCCTGATCTAAAGGGCATGAAAATCTGGGTCCTGGTATTTTACTTTGCAGCGTTTGTCAGGTATTGTTGAAAAATTTAAATTAGCTTCAATATTTTAATGAAATCAGTGCAGGTCATTTAAAATCTGACAGAGAAGAATGTGTTATATACTTTAGAAAACATCAGTTATCTCAACAATACGCTTTATTGTAATTTAATTTTTTGGTAATTCACATGAGAAATATCATTTATGAAAAGAATTACAAATTTCATTTTTACACCATTATTTTTATAAATCCATATAGTATAAGAAAGTCAAAATAATAATAAGCAATTTTATCCAGTGATTTATATAATCTTTTTTATCATTAAGGAATGTTTTTATTTATATAGATGAAATGTTTATTATATTATAATGACAATATAATAGTATTGCCTATATCAATAGATGTAATTATTCATTTTTCTTATGGAGACATAATATTGGATGTAAACTTTTTAAAACTTTATTTTTATCTTACTTGCACAGATGAATAATGATTTATGCTCAGTGGCAAACCATATCTTTTCTTCTTTAATAATTCCAAATAAGATGTCTTGCTAGAAATTATGGCAACTTGATCTTGAAGGGAGATAAGTTTCTCATAATAGTTTTGGAGAAAAATTGAACCACAATTCTATTATCTGTAAAACATGTCTTCTTATATATCCAAACCTCACACTCAATCTGTATCTGGTAAAAAGTTTTAATTTCTATATATCCTCCATAGCAAAAAAAGAGAAAGAAATATCAAATCATACCAGGAAAGGTAAAAGTGTAATATTAGGAACTGAGAATTTGAATGCTTTTTAGTTTAACAAATTAACCAATATTACCAAATATCACTTCCAACATATTTCATATTACTGTAGCACTCAGGAGAATTTAATTGTTTTAGTATCTTAAAAGATGTCTGTGTTGGTGGGGAGTGAGTTCAAATGGGTCAAACTAGCCATAAGCCGGGGTTTGTCCTGAGGAGGTCACCTGGGTGAAGTGACAGTGTGACAGTCTGATGACATGTCCCATGCTAAGGTGAGCTACATGCAAGAAGCTGCTGAAAACCTTCACTGACCTCTTGTGCATTCCCAGGCCACACTGGGCACTCAGAGGGACGTTTGTTCTAGGGCTTGAGCTTGGAGGGCAAGTCAATTTAACCCAAAGATAGAATCATAGTTAATGAAATATCTACTTTTGAAAATTAAGTAAGATGAATAGATAACATAAAATGGAAACAAATTAAATTAAGGAATGTAAACATCTATATTAAATACATATACATTATTTTATCCTTACAGTATTTTAAAAATTTGTTGACTTTGAAGAAACAAATGTGATTAATTATGAACAGACAACTTTTCTCTTGTGTACATATTCCTAGGCCAGGTCTTGTCATTCTTACCATAGGAAAATTTAAAGGTTACATTTTCCATTTTTCTTTTCTCTAGAAACTGTTCAATATCAGTGGAAATGTATTTAATCAATACTACTTAATTTGGTAGTAGTAAAAGAATCTTTGTTCTTTTTTTAACTACTGTAACATCTTTTTAAAAGAACTAATAGTTTACTTACTAAATGCCTATGCAAATAAATGAAGCAATTAGATTACTTGCTTTCAATATTTAAGTGTTTTCTGTTTACATAGATGTGAGCATGTAGTATATTTCTAAGATTTTAAAAATTAAAAACAAATTTCCATTTAGTTACTTAATGTTATTACTATACCTAAAGTGACATAAACTTTCAGATGCTTTGAAAGGAATTACAGAAGACCAGAAAAACAGGAAATTTACTTTTGCGTTACTCTTTATGTTTTCTTTAAAAAGTTGAGTTTATTAATGTTTTTGGATTCATTGATTAGCTGACTTGAGTCCATTTCTTTTTAGATGTACTACAAGATATAACTTGTCAAGTGGAAAAGTATATAAACATGGTGCTTAATATTTTTAATGCTAATGACAACATATTTAGTATAATAGACAAGAAAAAATGCTTTCAAAATTTTTAAATTAAGCCCTTTTCCAAAGCAGTAAAGCCTCCTCATAATTGAAGAAAAAAGAAAGAAAGAAGGAAAGAAAGAAAAAAACCACTATGTACTCAACTGATAGAAGGACAAGCTGGTATTCTTTGTTGCTTTTGGCTTACTAGAGGGCCCAGCAGAGAGGAATTTATGTACAGATCTATCCAGAGATGCCCATCTGTGTAGCCTCTCCAACAGGGTCATTAACACTTGGGTAAGGTAAACACAGCCATAAACACATGAGCCATTTTTTGAAGTGGAGGATTGGATAAGAAGATAGGTAGATGACTTAAAACTGTCCCAGTACATATTCGTGGATCACACCTGAAGGAATGAATACCAGTATTGAGCAAAACGACAATCAGTCTTCAAAACCTGTGACTTTTAAAAAAGAACTGACGTTCCTAAGAGTGAAGAGCTTTAACTCTCTTCTTCAGTGAAGGTTTGGTTGTTCTCAAAGCTGTCACGGCTGCCAGAGATAAATGCGATCATAGTTTAATTACAAGTCTTTTTGAAAATTTTAATGATCACTTACAAAGGTTCAGTTTCAAAGGTTTCATAGGAAGTCACGGTCAGAAACAGGAAGGAGTGGACACACCGGCAGGGAGGGCTTGGGCGCCCCACCGCCGGCCCCCTCCCGACCCTGCTCCCTGCTCCAGCTTCTGCCTCGGCCCCCAGCCCCTGCCCC